ATGTTGCTTGACCACTTGTAAATTTTCTTTTGAAATATATCTATTCAAACAAAGGAGGAGGCAACAATGCTTGATAAGAAATGTACTCATTATCTTGCCCATGTAATTGTAACCCCTCTGTACAGTATTTTCACAATAAAAAAAATAAAAATTAAAAAAAAACCAAACAAAAACAAAAAAAAATGTCTATTCAACTTGTGGGTGGAACGGGAGGGAAAAGCTAGGCGAGGGCAAAGAACAGAATGACATTGTCCAAAATGAAATGTACTCTTTACCTGATTTATGAGACAGTAACTCCTTTGTATATTACCTTTATAATAACATTTTTAAAATGTCTATTAACATAATTTATTTGCCCATTTTTTGAGTTGCTTATTGTTGGGTTATAAGAGTTCTTTGTATATTCTAGATATTAAGTTTTTTAAAATCAAGTCTATTTACAAATAACTTTTCTCCCATTCTGTTAGTTATCTTCACTTTTTTGATGGTATTTTTGAAAAACAGTAGTTAAAAGATTTTTTTATTAGCCATGTGTTGTAGCTTATGCCCATTATTCCGGTTTCTTAGAAAATAGAGATGGAGAGGATCATGGTCCAGGCTAGCCCAGGCAAAACACAAGACCCTATCTCAAAAATGAGAATTGTACAATATATGTTTTTCTACAACTGGCTTATTTCCCTTAGCATAATATTTCCCTCTGCATTGCCTTTTTTTTTAATTACCCCTTTGGTACAGGTACTAGGGCTTGAACTCAGGGCATAGCTGCTGTCCCAGAACGTTTTTGCTCAAGGCTATTACTCCACCACTTGAGCTACAGCTCTACTTCTAAGTTTTTGGTAGTTTAGTGAAAATAAGTCTCATAGACTTTCCTGCCCAGGCTGGAAAGCAAGAAAGTTGAATAATACTTCAATATAAAAATACCTTCAAACTGCAATCCTCAGATTGCATCCTCCTGAGTAGTTTAGGATTACAGTCAAGAGCCACCAGTGCCCGGCCATTCTGCAATTTTAATGTGTGTAATTAACATTAAAAGGTCAGTTTTTCTTTTAAAGAAGAACCACAGGCAGGATTAATTTCTCTGTACTTTGCTTTTTTTTTTTTTAACAATCAATTGTTTAAACTTAAGTTTTTGTATTTAGTACATTATTATCCCAAACACTTGTGTGTATACTTATATCCTTGCTAAATAGTGAACTTCTTTAGACAGAGACCCTTGCATTTTTTTTTTTTTGGGTGGGGTGGTCGGTTGTGAGGCCTGAACTCTGCGCCTGGGTGCTCTTTAGCTCAAAGCTAGCGCTCTACCACTTGAGCTCCAGTGCCATTTCCAGCTTTTTTTGCTTATGTGGTGCTGAGGAATCGAACCCAGGGCCTCATGCGTGCAAGGCAAGCACTCTACCACCTTCCCAGCCCCGAGATCCTTGCATTTTAAGCATCTCTTAGTGTGTTGTAGATATATATCAGATAGAAAAGTATTGACTAAATTAGTGATAAAAAGTACTGTCTTAACAAATCAGACAACCTGTTAGTGGTCTTAGAACTTTGTTAGTCTGTCAGAACTAATGAAATATCTAGTTTGTTTTCTTTTGTGACAAATAAAACTTGGTATTGGTAGAAAATAGTTTTGTGTGTGTGTGTGTGTGTGTGTGAGAGAGAGAGACATTGGTATTTGAACTCAGGGCTTCATATTTGCTTGGCAGGTGTTCTAAACTTTGCCTCTAGCTCCTTTTTGCCTGTGCCTGTTCCTGTGTCTGAACTTCAGTCTTCCTACTTTACTCTTTGAGTAGCTGAGATGACAGGCATTTAGCACTATGCTCAGCTTCTTGTTGAGATGGGATGTTGTGAACTTTTTTTGTTCAGGCTGGTCTGTAACCTCTTTCCTGACCTCAGCCTCCTAGCTGGGATAACAGGAACTTGCTACCGTGCCCAGCTATTGGTTGAGAAAGGGGTCTTGCAAACTTTACTCAGAATGTCTTTGAAGCTCATTTCTCCCAATCTCAGCCTCTTGAGAAGCTAGGATTAAGGTATGAGCCACTGCACTACACTGCACTGCTTTAATTCCTAAATAGATGTAAAAATTCATACTGTGAAAAATAGATGTATAGTATTATATATCTAATAACATTCACTGTTAATTGGCTGATTACAAAATGTCTTGGTTAATATAGTAAATGGAATGATTTTTTTGTTTTGGTCGGTAGTGGGGCTTGAACTCTGGGCACTGTCCCTTAGCTCTTCAACTCAGGGTGAGCACTCTACCACTTGAGCCACAGCGCCACTTCTGGTTTTCTGGTGGTTAATTGGAGATAAGAGTCTCATGGACTTTCCTGCCTGGACTTGGCTACTCAGCCTCCTGAGTAGCTAGGATTTACAGGCGTGAGCCACCCACTGGCTGGAATGATATTCTTAAAAAATGTATTTTTAGTCTTAATCACTTGTGAAGGTACAGGTGATAATAATCAAGGGATATTTAGCTAGCAATATCTTTAATCAAAGAATTACTAAGAGTGATCAAATTCTTTAAGTGCTAAATTGAGATAATTGGTCAGGAAAAGGAAGAGATCTAAACTGCTGTAGTATAGGGAATGGGGTAGTGGTTCTTGTAACATTATAGGTTTTTATATCTGCAGAGATTTAGTTTCCATCTTAGTAGATTCTTCTCATTCTTGGTGGAGAAGAGTAGAAGAGAGGAGGTAATAGATTTAAAGTGAAATTGTGAGAATTGTAAATGAATTAGGGTTCCAGGAACAGACTATGTGATATATGGTTTAGGGCAATTATGGGTAAAGGAAAGTTTGTGATGGGTAAGATACTTGAAAAATTAGTGTTTGTAAACAAGACTTTGAGTAATTACTTTGTATTCTATTTAGCATGTTTTCCCTTTTCTTTGGGGGGGGGGCAGTCATGGGGCTTGAACTCTGGGCCTGTGTGCTATCCCTGACCTCTTCAGCTCAAGGCTGAGAACTCTATCACTTGAGCCACAGTGCCTCTGGTTTTCTGGTGGTTAATTGGAGATAAGAGTCTCACAGACATTCTTGCCTGGGCTAGCTTTGAACCGCAATCCTCAGATCTCAGCCTCCCTGAGTAGCTAGGATTACAGGCCTGTGCCACTGGTGCCAGGCCTTCTTCTTTCCTTCTTTCCTTCCTCTTCTTCCTCCTATGCCTCCTTCCCTTCCTCTCCCTCCTTCCCTCCTTCCCTCCTTTCCTTCTTCCTTCCCTCTTTTCCACCTTCCCTCTCCCCTTCTCCTCATTTTTTTTTTTTTGGTGGGTTCTGGGGCTTGACTCTGGGCCTGCATGCTGCCTCTGAGCCTCTTTGTGTTCAAGGCTAGTGCTCTACCACTTAAGCCACAGTACCACTTGTGGGTTTTTTTCTGAGTAATTTATTGGCAATAAGAGTCTCATGGATTTTTTTTTTGCCCTGGCTGGCTTCCAACCGCTATCCTTAGATCTCAGCCTCCTGGGTAGTTAGGATTATAGGCACAAGCCATCAGTGTCTGACTTACTGCTTCTTTGATTTGTAGGATACTTATTCAACCCTTATAATGCCTTATCATTATTTGTAAATAAAAACTTGTATTTGGCATCTCTTTGTTTATGATAATTCAGCTTCTAGGTTTTCATTACCTTCATCTCATACCTGTACATTTATCCCAGTTGAAGAAAATGATGTGTCCAGTGTCAATGTAATACCTACAGGGAGCATTAAAATTTTCTGTATTAGTTTTTGCTAAAAGGTTGGCTACAGCATGCTGTTAATTTAATAATGCCATTATGGCATTATTAAATACTAATTGTTAAAATTATAAATTCTAGGGCTGGGAAGATGGCTCAGTGGTAGAGCATTTGCCTTGCATGCAGGAGGCCCTGGGTTCGATTCCTCAGCACCACATAAGCAAAATGAAGTAAGCTGGAAGTGGCGCTGTGGCTCAAGTGGTAGAGCGCTAGCCTTGAGCTGAAGAACTGAGGGACAGCGCCCAGGCCCAGAGTTCAGGCCCCACGACTGGACCCCCCCCCCCCCCCCCCCAAAAATTATAAACTCTAAATATTTTTTGTATTTTCAGAAATGACGTTTTTCTTATTTTGGTTATCCTGAGACATTGTTTTCTGGTGTTGCTCAGTTTGGCCTTAAACTCACTCTGTAACCTAGTTTGGCTTTGAATTTGTGATCCTCTTGCTTCAGCCTCCTGAATGTTAGAATTACAGATATGTGCCTCCATATCCAGGGAAAACTACATACACTTTTAAGGGAAATGTCACTCAGGGATTTCATTAAGAAATAGTACAATTTTAATAATGGAGAGCATTTACATTGAAAACATCAGTATATGATTCTTTTTAGTTCAATATTTTTTGAGACAGGCTTTACTGTGTGGACTGGGTTAGTCTCGAATGCAGTGATCATCGAATCTTAGCCTCCATACAGACATACGACACCATGTCTGACACCAACATTTGATTTAAATGAAGCACACGTACTTTTTCTTCCTAGTTAAGATGATTCAGAGTTGGGCTGGGAAGGCAGAGTTATTGTCCTGGCTTTAAAGAAACGTTGTTGTGTGTGTGTGCTGGTCCTGGGGCTTGAACTCAGGTCCTGGGTGCTATCCCTAGCTTTTTGCTCAGGACTGGTGCTCTTATCACTTAAGCCACAACACCATTTCTAGCTTTCTAGTATTTAATTGGAGATAAAAGTCTCACAGAGTTTCCTGCCTGAGCTGGCTTTGGAGTATGATCCTCAGATCTTGTCTCCTGAGGAACTAGAATTACAGGCATGAGCCTACACCTGATTAAAGAAATCTTAATGCTTTACTAGTTTGAAAATGTAATGATAAATCATATGTATTAGCTTTTTGATAATATTTAGCTCTGGAAGGTCATTAGAGTTGGGTCATTATTAGTTCTGTTTCTAATTTAGCAATATCTACTATGGAAAGAATTTTGCTTGACTTGAAGATGGTGTCTAATTTAACTTCTTTTGAAAATAACCTGTACTTTTACTTTTGTAGGACAGGGGAGGAATCAACAGCTTCGAACTTTCAACTAAGTAATCTGGCGGGATGGGCATTTGCCTGACATATTTTATAGAGGTAATTCAACATTATTTTACTCAGTCTTTGTTATTTCCTTCTTTCTTTTTTTTTGTCAGTCGTGGGTCTTAAACTCTGGGCTTGGTCGCTGTCCCTCAGTTCTTAGCTCAAGGCGAGGGCTCTACCACTTGAGCTACAGTGCTACTTCTGAGTGGTTTATTGGAGATAAGAGTTTCACGAACTTTCCTGCCCAGGCTGGCTTTGAACTGCAATCCTCAGATCTCAGCCTCTTTTTTTTTTTTTTTTTTGGGTCTGGTCGAGGGGCCTAAACTCTGAGCCTGGGCACTGTCCCTCAGCTCTTCAGCTCAAGGCTAGCGCTTTACCACTTGAGCCACAGCACCACTTCTGGCTTTTTTCTTTTTGCTTATGTGGTGCTGAGGAATCGAACCCAGGGCCTCAGGCATGAAAGGCAAGCGCTCTACCACTGAGCCATCTTCCCAGCCCAGATCTCAGCCTCTTTAGTAGCAAGGATTACAGGCGTGAGCCACCGGAGCCCAGCCAGTCTTTATTTCGTGTAACAGATTGCCCATGTCCTTACATGTGAACACTCATACTCAGAACTGTTGGGTAGGACTCTGCATTTACCAGACCATCCCTTTTGCTTTTATACTATTTGTATAGCTCATGGACATATGTATAGCATAGTATTACTATATACACTGAAAAGAATCAGTGTTACTAGTTATAGAGAATAAAGTCTATTATCTTTTCTCAGTTAAATAGATTTCCTTTTCCTTGCATATCATTCCTTCTCATTTCATTCTAAGTAGTGTACTAGTATTTGAATGTACCATAACTGCTTTGATTAGCCACCGATTTATATAGGTTTTTTTTTCCTATTATACATGGTCACATATTGAATATTCTCTTTTTTTTTCTTTTTTGAGCTCCAGTACTAGAGCTTAGGGCTTGGGTGCTGTCCCTGAGGTTTTTTGCTTAAAGCTGATACTCTACCACTTGAGCCACAGCTCTGCTTCTGGCTTTTTGGTGGTTAATTGGAAATAAGGGTCTCATGGACTTTCCTGTCCAGGCTGGCTTTGAACCACAGTCCTCAGACCTCAGCTTTCTGAGTAGCTAGTATTAAGAGATTTGAGCTATTGGTGCCCGCCTTGAATGTTCTTGGGATATCATCACACATATTTTGAAATACATTGACAGTTTAAATTCTTAAGGGAAAAATTATTGGGCCAAATAGTATGTACATCAAATAGAGTGGTGGATAAATTGCTTAAATCTTAAAAGTATAACCACTATCAGTAGTTTTATCACAATGTGCATTTATTTTCATTTGACAGTACTAGCTAATGCCAAACATTTTATATAGATCACTGTTTTTTGTTGATTTATCTTTCATGAGTGAATTTGAGCTTTTTTTTTTATTGTTTTGGCTATATATTTTTCAGCAATCTATTTGTTTATCTGTTCTTTTATTTTGCCCCTTTTGTATTAATGTATTAGGAAGAATTCAGAGCTGCTTATCATTTGTTAGGCAAATTATCATTGCTCAGCTTTGCTTATCTTTTGATTTTGGTTTTACCCTTGAGAAGGTAAATTTATAAAGAATTTTTTTCTGGTTTCCTATGGTAGTGATGTTATACTTCATGGCTATAGTAGAGTGGGGTAGAGAATTCTGGGTAAATTTTAAAGGTCTTTACCTCTATATTCCTCCACATTATAATGTCTTTGGATGACAAAAATTTCTGATTTGTCATTGTTTAACATTGTTTTTCTTAGTAAGACTTAAGTAACTGTTTATCTTAATTAGTAAAAAGTAATTTTAGATTCAGTGAACTATGGTACTTGAAAAAGTTGAATAAGAGATTATAGAAATTTAGTAAATGATAAATGTGCTTTTAAAACTTCAGAAAAAAAGGTATCACTTAATAAATGGAATGAGGACAGTTGGTTAGTCGTTGTTTCTTCCATAGCTCTTTAGTGGTTTTTTTTTTTTTTTTTCCTGTGTCTCTTTATTGCCTTTAGTATTAATTATTTTTTAGTGTGCTGTTTTAGTTAGTTTGGTGATTTTTCAACTGCATTTAAAAAGGTATTTTCATTGTAGTTGGTGATAAAGTTATAGTTTACATTATAACAGTTTGCTTAGTATCAGTAAAACAGGAACTTTGTCCAGAATGGCCCCTTGTTCTCTCCCTGGTTGGGTGTTGCTATTGCCATATTCATTATATATGTTATAAATTCAGCAGAACTCTATTTTGATCACTGCTTGGTATCTTAGATTTTTTAAAGAAGAGAAGAAGTAGGAAAGATACATTGATAGCTTTGTAGATGTTTACTATTTCTGGTACTCTCATTTTTTTCCTGTGTATTTGAGTCTCATGTCTTTTTTTGTCAGCTTGATGGACTTCCTTTAGAATTTCATACAAGTTAAGTCTATTAGCAAAATTTCTCAGCCTTTAACTGTCTTCATTTTTTTTATTTTTAAGAATAGTTTTGCTTTTTTTCCAGCTCTTTGAATATATGATTCCACCATCATTGTTTGTGATTGAGAGTTAGCAATTAATCTTACTAATCATTTCTTGTACCTGCTGAGTCATTTTTTGCTTTCTGCTTTCAAGATTTTTCTCTTGTGTTTGCTTTCAGTTGTTTAACAATGTATTTAGGAATGAGTCTCTTTGGAGTTATCCTACTGAAATTTCATTGAGCCTCATAGATCTGTAAATTTATTTTTCTTAAAAAGGTTGGAAAATCTTTGACATGAATTTTGTTAAGTTTTGTTTTACTTTCTTTTCCTTAGTCTGGGTGTTGTCCTTCCTGTCTTTGAGTTTCTTATTAAATTTTTCCTTCAGTCTTTTTTTTTTCTGAATTTTTAATTGGACAATTCCTATGATGTGTCTTTAATCTTGCTGATTTTTTTCTATGTTATCTTGAACCAGCTGTTGAGTCTTTCTTATAAACTTAATTTTAGTTACTTTACTCTTTAACTCAGAATTTCCATTTGGTTCTTTTGCATATTTTTTTGCCTTTATTGAAAATTTTATTTGTACCCTATTTGTAAACTGATTGCTTTCATAGTTTAAAAATATTTAAAACATGGTCTTTTTATTAACATAACATAGATGTTTTGAAATATCTACCAAAATTAATATATGGGGCATATTCCAAAACAATTTGTATAAACTGCTACTTTTCTTGAATATGGGTCACATTTTTGTTATCTCTTGTAATTATTAAAAATGGCATTTTACTAAATATGCAATTAATATTGTGATTTCTTCCTTTTCCCAGAATACTAAGACTTGTGTACATTACAGTCTTGCTGGAAATAAGCCACACATTTTATTTTGGACAAGATTTTGTCTGGAAAAACAAACAAATTACTATCCAGGAAAATTCTGAAATGGAAGGATACTGAGGGGTAATTAGCTCTATCAGAAATTGAACTTTTAAGGATATAGTAAGTGTTGAAATATTGTCTTAAAAATAATTTTATACTTTCCAAAGTACGTATATGAGTTGGGCGCTGGTGACTCATACCCGTAAACCTCAGGAGGCAGAGATCTGAGGATTGCAATTTGAAGCCAACAGGCAGGAAAGCCTATGAGACTCTTATCTCAACTACCCCTCAAAAAAAAGAAAAAAAGAAAAGCAGGAAGTGGTGGTCTGGCTCAAATGGAAGAGTACTGACCTTGAGAAAAAAAGTTCAGGGATAGAACCCAAACTCTTGAGTTCAAGCCCCAGGTCTGGCACAAAAACAAAAGTATATACACGGAATTACTACGGGATTTGCTTTAGGTGGGAAAGACTATTGTAGTTTTTGCACTATTATAATTGGATTTGAAAGTACAAGATACTTAATCTCCAAGCTTGCTTAAAGAGTGAATATAAAATCTCTCTCTCTCTCTCTCTCTCTCTCTCTCTCTTTCTTTCTCTCTGTAGCATTTTTGGGATTTGAACTCAGGCCCTTACACTTGTCAGGCAGGCTCTTTACCATTTCCTGTCACATTACATACCAGTCACATTCCCTGCCCTTATTGCTTTCATTGTTTTTTTAATAGGGTCTTGCCTTTTGCCAGGTTGTCCTGGAGTGGGATTTTACTTACCAGCAATACAAATGCCTGCCATTTAATTTAGATGGAGATGGAATCTCAAACTTTTTCTAAAGCTGGCCTTGAACTGTGGTTTTCCTAATTGTAGACTCACAAATAGGATTATGAGTACGAGCCAAGCTACTGTTATTTTTTTTCTGTTTTTGTTTTTTTTTGTCTGTCATGGGGCTTGAACTCTGGGCCTGGGTGCTGTCCCTCAGCTCTTCAGCTCAAGGCGAGCCCTCTACCACTTGAGCTACAGCGCTACTTCTGGTTTTCCGGTGGTTTATTGGAGATAGGAGTCTCACGGTTTCTCCTGCCCGGTTGAACGGGCTGGCTTTGAGCCGAAATCCTCAGATCTCAGCCTCCTCAGTAGCTAGGATTACAGGCGTGAGACACCAGCGCCTGGCCTGTTTTTCTTTTTTAATTGTTGTTTTTTGTTTTGGAGTCCTGGGACTTTCGCTCTAGGCCTGGGCACTGTCCCTGAGTTTCTTTTGCTCAAGGAAAGTGCTCTTGAGCACTTGAGCCATAGCACTGCTTCTGGCCTTTTTGAGTAGTTTATTGGAGACTTAGTCTCACAGACTTTCCTACCTGGGCTGGCTTCAAACCAGTCCTCAGATCTCAGCTTTTTGAGTAGCTAGGATTACAGGCATGAGCCACTAGTACCGCCGGGCTTCAAGCTGTTCTTTTTTTTTGGCCAGTTATGGGCTTGGACGCTGTCCCTCAGCTCTTCAGCTCAAGGCTAGCGCTCTACCACTTGAGCCACAGCATTACTTCTGGCTTTTTTCTGCTTATGTGGTGCTGAGGACTCGAACCCAGGGCCTCATGCATGCAAGGCAAGCACTCTACCACTGAGCCAACTTCCCAGCCACTCAAGCTGTTCTTGATAGATGAGAATCTTTTTGAGGCCTTCAGGATAGGAAATCTCATAAAATCTTTAATTTGATACTCAGAAATGCTTACTGGGAGATATTCTTACGTACAACCCATGATGTTAGTGTTGTGTTTTATGTTTTTGTTCTTAGTGTTGTGTTTTATGTTTAGGTTTTGTTTTATGTTTTGGCTGTACTAGGATAGAAATCAGGGCCTCACACTTTCTAGTTTGAGTCACACCCTCTATCCCTTTTGGTTTTAGTTATTTTTTGGATAAATCTGTATTTTTGCTCAGGCTAGCCTCACACTGTGTATGTGTATATATATATATATATATATATATATATATATATATATGTATGTATATGTATATGTATCTTACTTTGTAGCTGGGATTACAGCTACAAAACTGGATTATATTATGCTTGATTTGTTCTTTGAGGTTGAACTTACTAACTTCTTGCTGGAGTTTGCCTCTCAAACAGTGATCCTCCTATCTCTGCCTCCTAAGTAGCTGGTATTACAGATGTGAGTCACCATACCTGGCTATGTCATTTTTGTTTTTGGAAAAACAAAAATCATCATTTCTATTTTAAGCTAGCATTTCCTATACATAATGTTACTGACCAAGTGTGTGTGGGGGCGGGGACAGGGGAGGTGCTTGTATGGGTTGCCAGCCAGTCCTGAGACTTGAACTCAATGCTTGGGTTCTGTCCCTGAGCTTTCTTACCTAAGGCTCTTATCACGTGAGCCACTACACCACTTCTAGCTCCTTGTGGTGTTTAATTGGAGATAAGAATCTCATGAACTTTTCTGCCCAGGTTAGCTTTGAACCACAATCATTAGATCCTAGCCTCCTTAGTCCTTAGGCATGAGCCTCTGGTGCTTGGCTGCTAAGTTTTTGGTATTTTTGTGGATGCCAGTCCTGGGGCTTGAACTTAGAGTCTGGGTACTGTCTTGAGTTTTTGTGCTCAAGCATAGTGCGTTACCACTTTAAGTCACTTTGAGATAAAAATCTCACAGAAAGCTAGGTACTGGTGGCTTACACCTGTAATCCTAGCTACTCAGGAGGCTGAGAGCTGAGGATCGAAGTTCAAAGACACCCTGAGCAGGAAAGACCTGAGGCTCTTATCTCCAATTAACCACCAGAAAACCAGAAATGGTGCTGTGGCTCAAGAGGTAGAGCACTCGCCTTGAGCAGAAGAACTGAGGGACAGCGCCCAGGCCCAGAGTTGAAGCACCAGGACTGACAAAAGTCTCACAGACTTTTCTGTGCAGGCTGGCTTTGAACTATGATTCTCAGATTTCAGCTTCCTGAGGAGTTAGGATTATTGGTGTGAGCCACCAGCACCTGGTTGGTCTATTTATTTATTTATTTATTTATTGGGTCCCGTCGTGGAGCCTGAACTCTGGGCTTGGGCCTGTCCCTCAGCTCTTCAGCTCAAGGCTAGCACTCTACCACTTGAGCCACAGCGCCACTTCCGGCTTTTTTTTTCTGCTTATGTGGTGCTGAGGAATCGAACCCAGAGCCTCAAGCATGCAAGGCAAGTGATCTACCACTGAGCCACCTTCCCATCCTGGTCAAGTTTTATATTTTGATATTCAATGTGATTTTTAAACTGTAATCTTTTCTATTATTAGTAGTTATATATCTTTGGGTGCTACTAATAATTGGCTTTGTTATTTTGTTGGCTTCTTTTAACTTTGTAGATTTCACAAAGCAGATAACAATAGTGTTTTTGAATGGTTGCTTAATCTTCCCTATTCTCTAATCTTTTAGTCTCTGTAATTGTGAATTCATGTAATACTTCATTTTTCTGAAGCTGTTGGACTCCAGGTCTAGGCAAGGTATTCCTTAAAAGGGCAGGGTTTGGGGGTTGGTTTTTCTTTTGGTGGGGGGTTGGTTTTTGTTCTTTGTTTTTTTTAAATTATTTACTCTCTCCTACTGTTGTACTTTTCCCACTATCCCACCTAAAAATTAAATGAGTGTACTTGTTATTCACACAAATGTTAAATTTACAGAGTGATCACTTGGGATTAATGTTCATTTGCAGATACTATTGTATAGCGTTTCCCTCCTCTAATGTGTTTTGTTTGTTGTATATGTGCTTTATTGTAGGAACTGAAAGTCATAATTGGTTGAAGTGGTATAAAGGTTTTCGAAGCCTATGAAAGGTAGAAACTCAACCATGGTTTCTTGCTCAACTCTACAGCTTTCCCTTCCTTGAAGTCTTCATTTTTACCCTAGGCTCAGGTAATTTTAATACTTACTTTTCTTAATGCTAAGTAAGTAAATTTTTTTCTAATATGAAAACATTTTGTTTTTGCTGTTGCACTTCCATGTTTGGTTTGTATAATTAATAGTTTCTGTTTCCATTTTTACTTACAAAAGAAAATATTTTTTACTTGATTTGATTTTTTTCTCAAAACAGTTTCTAGTCAAAATTGATATAATGCTGTTTTAGATTTTCATTTCAGTTTAACACAAAATGTGTATATTCAGTAATCATAAGTGAATTTAAGAGATGTTTCCTTTTTTTGTAATATTTAAACATTCTTATCGTACAACTATTTCTTCAAATAGTTGTATAAAGGGGTTTTGGTTTAATATGTTACTTTATGTGTATAACACATCTTGATCAGAGTCAGCCCCCTTCATCATTCTCTGACATATTTTCTTGTTTAAACTTGTTTCTTAACAGAATGCATATTTGTCTTCTTGTCCTTACATTTCCCAGGATTTCCATTTAAACTATTTTAATACTGGAAAAAATAAACCTACGAAATCTAAGTTAGTGTGTTTATAATTTTAAGAATATGATTAAAACATTAACTACTGTACATTTGTACATATTATATTTGCCTATATTATAAAAAGCAATCTTACAGACGATTCAGAAATATTTATATTTGAAATATAGTATTTAATTGTTATCTAGACTTGGCTATTGATATAGGCTAATAAAGGTATACTTGTCTTTGTTTGAAAACTGCATGCAAACTCACTCAGTTGTATGAGGTTCTAGCTTTATTATGATCCAGGTGCAACTCTTTATTTGTTTGTTCTCCAGTTGTTACGGGCAGTTTATTTTAACATCTGTATTTGCACACAATATCCTTTGATCAGACTCACCTCCTCTGTCATTCTTGCTCTGCTTTTCTTTTTCTTTTTCTTTTCTTTTTTTTTTTTTTTTTTTTTGGTGCTAGTGATTGAGTCCAGGGCATCACTCATGCTAAGTATGGTTTCTTCTGCCATTGGAGAGTATTTGTAGTCTTCCTATCTTGTTGCCCTAGATGGTAACCATATTGTCTAGAACTTTGTCATCTGACCATAACTAATTAAATGGAAGGCAATCATGTGTCTTACATAGTTTTTATTATTAGGTAGGAAGGAGAGAACATTTTCTAAGGAGACGGTCATCTGGCTTGTCATGCTAGGTTTGTGTCAGATTTACTTTCCATTTTGAAAATAAAGTGATATTGGTTTAAATAGCTAACACGATTCTGTCCTAAAATGTATGTTGGTTATTACTATATGGAATATATTAAAAATAACCACTAGATATTGTCTGTTTCTAGTATATGTAAGAAAGTCTATTTGGCTGTGTGTGTGTGTGTGTGTGTGTGTTTGTGTGTGTGTGTGTGTGTGTGTGTGTGTATGTGTGTGTGTGTGTGTGTTTGTGTGTAGAGTTTGAACTTAGGGTCTTGGTGCTTGCTAGGTTGTTGCTTTGCTACTTGAGCCATACCCTCAGTCTTTTTGATGTTAGTTTTAGTTTTCCAAAATGTGCAAATAGTGTCTCACTTTTTGCCCAAGCTGACCTGGGCTATAGTCCTTCTATTTTTTGTTTTGTTTTCATGCCAGTTTTGGGGCTTGAACTTAGGGCCTGGCTCTGTCTGTGAGCTTCTTTTGCTCAACGCTATCACTTTACCACTTGAGCCACAGTTCCACTTGCAACCTTTTTAGTATTTTAGAGGAGTCTCATGAACATTTCTTCCCTGGTTGGCTTTGAATCGTGATCCTCATCTCTCAGCCTCCTTAGTAACTAGGATTATAGGCATGAACCATTTATGCTTTCTGTATAGTTGGGACAACAGACATAGAGTTTATTAGTTGAGATGGGGGTCTCATGGACTTTTTGCTTGGACTGGTATCAGACTGAGATCTTCCCAATGTCTGCTTTGCATATAGTTATGAGCCACCACACCTTGGCTGGTACTGGGGTTTTTACCTCAGGACTTTGTGCTTGCTAGGCAGGTGTTTATGACCTAAGCCATGCCCAAGCATTTTTTTCTTTATTTTTATGGGGTCTCATATTTTTCCCTGGACTGAGATTCTCATATGTCTGTCTCCCAAATATCTGGTATTAAAATAATGTGCCAGGCGGGACGCTGGTGGCTCATGCCTGTAATCCTAGCTACTCAGGAGCCTGAGATCTGAGGATCACTGTTCAAAGTCAGCCTGGGGGCTGGGAAGGTGGCTCAGTGGTAGAGTGCTTGCCTTGCATGCCTGAGGCCCTGGGTTCGATTCCTCAGCACCACATAAGCAAAAAGAAAAAAGCCGGAAGTGGCGCTGTGGCTCAAGTGGTAGAGCGCTAGCCTTGAGCTGAAGAGCTGAGGGACAGTGCCCAGGCCCAGAGTTCAGGCCCCATGACCGGACCCAAAAAAAAAAACAAAAACAAAAAAAAAAAACAAAAAACCAAAAAAAACAAAGTCAGCCCGGGCAGGAAAGTCCATGAGACTCTTACCTCCAGTAAACCACCAGAAAACTGGAAGTGGCGCTGTGGGTCAAGTGGTAGAGTACTAGCCTTGAGCTGAAGAGCTGAGGGACATTGCCCAATCCCAGAGCTCAAGCCCTACGACCGACAAACAACAACAACAAAGTAATAATGTACCAGTACACCTGGCTTGTCTTTTAGATAAGGTTTCAGTAACTTTTTATTGGGGCTGTCCTCAAACTCCCCATCCTAACTGGCTTGGATGTTAGGTATCAGTCATCATGAACTACCCAAAAAGTATTTTTTATATTTTTCTTATCATTGTGTAAGACTAGAAAACTTAGTTTCCTAAAAGAATCAATATGTTGAATATTAATATATGAGTAATTGATGTAGTCATAAAATGTAATGAACGGAATAACTAGGAAACAAAGTGTAGGATTCCTCTTAATTTGCCTTTACTTTCTCCTTTTGTTAAATTATAGGCTTTTAAAATATAATTTTATTGTTAAAATTATAATTTTATTAAGGTGTTAACCATTTCATATCAGTAATGAATATTTTTATTTTTTGATAATGTCACCCCTTTCTTCTCTTTCCCATCCCATCCTTGCCCACAAGTTTCATAGTTCATTTTCTGCATAGTGTATATTGAATACCATGACTGCATTTGTTCACCTTCCCTCCTTCCCTCCCTTTTTATGCCCCCTTTTGCCTCTCCTAAAAGACAAAAAAATCTCAAAGCAAAATATTAAAGGTATTTTAAAACAGTTTGAGTTGGCATAAATTTGATGTTTTAACATTTCTGATTATCACCATTGTTACATTATTTTCGAAGACTTCAGTGGTATTTTGGTATGCAGTGTATTCTTAAGATTTTAGTGTTTTTAAGTGAGGCTTCAATGTTAATGTAGAAATGCCCGTTAACTTTGGTTTGAATATTTATAAATTTATTTTTCTGCCGGGCGTCGATGGCTCACGCCTATGATCCTAGTTACTCAGGAGATTGAGATCTGAGGATTGAAGTTCGAAGCTAGCCAGCTGGGCAGGAAAGTCCAGTCTGTGAGACTCTTATCTCCAGTAAACCACTCAGAAAACCAGAAGTGGCACTGTGAATCAAATGGTAGAGCACTAGTCTTGAGCTGAAGAACTGAGGGACAGCCCTACTACACAAAAAATAAATTATATATACATATATATATGTATATGTTAAGAAATCATTGTATTTTCAGCTAGTCATACATAATAATGTAAATTTTCTGGTTAGTAATTGTGCTAGCAACCATTTAAATCTTGTGCTGTTAATGGTAGTAATCAGAAAGACTATTGTGTCTGGTTGCCATTGTTGCAGTGTTCCTGTTAGGAATTCTTTCTTTCTTTCTTTCTTTATTTTTGGGTCTGGTCGTGGGGCCTGAACTCTGGGCTGAACTCTGGGCCTGGGCGCTGTCCCTCAGCTCTTCAGCTCAAGGCTAGCGCTCTACCACTTGAGCCCCAGCGCCACTTCCGGCTTCTTTTTTCTTTTTGGCTTATGTGGTGCTGAGGAATTGAACCCAGGGCCTCATGCATACAAGGTATGCACCTTCTCAGCCCCTGTTAGGAATTTTTTAACTAGACGCACTTTAAAAATGAACATCCTTTTAAAACTGTAATTTTCAGTTGGGCACCCATGGCTTATACCTGTAATCTTAGCTGCTCCGGAGGCTGAGATCTGAGGATGGTGGTTCAAAGCTAGTCTAGGTAGGAAAGTCCATAAGATTCTTACATCCAAAAATGAACTGCCAAAAATGCCAGAAGTAGAGCTGTGATCAAGTGATGTTCTTGAGCAAAAGAAGCTCAGGATAGAGCCCAAGCTAGGACTAGCAAAAATAAATAAATAAATAAATATCATTGTCTCATATATTGGTTACCTAAACTAATGTAACTACTATCCTTCAAGTAAATGGATTTGCTGGAAATGATGTAGATTAGAAATGATTTGTGAAGGCTGGGCCTGTAGCCTGTAGCTGAGTGGTGGAGTACTTGCCTAGCATGCACAAGTCTGCCATAGTACCACCAAATACAACTAAACAAAGACATAAAGAGTAATTTGTGAGATAGTCTTTTTCTCTTTTACTTGTTTCAGAACAAATTCCTTGAATATCTCTCCTGCCTAAAGTGAGGTTTGAGTTCTGATTATTGATGAACTTGGGAAATTATTCTTTGCATAGAAAATGCAATGATATTTAAGTTCCTAAGCTTGCCCCTAAACTCTGTTTTGATTTAGGTAGTTGAAGTTCCACATTATTCATTGACTATTAATGGGTGATAATGTTACTGCCAAATCCAGTAAATAAGATACTTAAATAAAGTAAGATATTTAAATGAGAAATGTATTTCTTTCATGTTTAATGCAAATTAATTAAAGTAATAAGTGGTAGGTAGACATTTTGTGCACATTCTAAAGGAGAATTAGTGCTTTCAAAAATTTTAGAGAAGCTGGGCACTAGAGATTCATGCTTGTAATCCTGACTACTCAAGGAAGTTGAGATCTGATGATTAT